ATTGAATGGCGCTAAAGTGACGCGTAGGTTCCATTCGGGTAGGTTACTGTCCTGTCGTCCACTCTAAAAAAATCAGCTGATCACGCCTGATATCATAATAACCCCTGTAACAAGGTCGCCTAGTCTTTTAAACGAGACTCCGGTTCCATAACTGGTCAAGGCCGTGTGTCTCGTGCTACTTTTTGCTGATTCTTAAGACTGTCTTGGTCTAGTTCTATTAGTGTTTCTGCTTTCCATAACCAATCAATACTGACAATGAATTCGTTCGTATTGATTCTGTAGGTAAAACCACGTACTCTGGTTATTGATTGGTTGCTTCTTCTTTGTTTCAAAAGCTGTTCAAGTGGAAGTTATCTTCTTTTTATGGCCGATTTAAGAATTTTATAGTCTCTGCTCTACATTTTGAGAGTGTGAAGTGTTATTCCTATTGCGACTATTTTGATCAGGAAGTCAGGCGTTATTTATTGGCTACTAGAAGGCGAACTAGGTCTAAGTATTCAATTATTGTGCTATTAGTGAGGCTCGCGTTAGCAACAATGCGGAACTCCAGAAGTTGATTTTAAAAGTTCAAAATGAAAATAAAGTCAAAATTTTCTCGAATTTCATACTGTGAACTTCTGATGCTCAGCGCCTTCTCCAGGTCCATCCATGCATGAAAAGTTTCCCGTCTGAAGAACCTAATTAAGCTACTGTGTACTATTATCGCGGAACAAAGTTTTGAACAAAATTGAGGCTTAGTTTTTGAGTTCTATTGTAATAGACTTGAAATGTTACACTGCTGTTAAACTTGGACCATTCAAAGGATATTTTGGGTGCGCTTGCATGTAAAATAGTAGTAGCTGTGGTTGCATGAGATTTTTATGAATATTTGATGTACGAGAGGGAGGTGGCAGTGGCAAGTGATAGGCTCCGGAAATCAAATCCCGGATGAGTTACCATCCAGGCCAACTAAACATTCTATCCTCCGGGGACGGCAAGTGTACCGTATTTGTCTGGGAGGACAAGAACAGTGACTTGTACATCGGTTCGCTCCCGAGTCATTGTATAAGCCGCATGGCATAAAACAAGCTGCTATGATTCTAAATGGAGGTGAAGAGCGTGCCACATCCCAAGAGGGATTAGTTCAGGGCGGGACTTTACCTTTTTTGTCCTTAATTTTCTCAACAGTTTTTTCATGGGTGACGCAATGTAGCGCTCGTTTTCGAGCTTTTCCTTGTTCAGTAGTTAGTATTATTTTGTTTTAGTTTGTTATTTTCTACATTTAATATTTTGATGTTGTATGTACATCTGAAACCATAATTTACTTTATTAACTAGTAGCTACTTTTAGTCATTTTTTACAAGTTTCTTTTATCTGATCTCGATATTTATTCACTAGCAGTGCAGTAGCCACTCTGGAACATTTATTCGAACAGGACGCCGCAATTTTTCTATATAAGACTATTCAAATGACGTAATAGTGTTTAATTATTGAGTGTTGATTGTTCGTTTTTTGGGACCACTGCGGTCTTGATAGTAATTAAGCGGAAGTTATTTTTTCGTCTTGTTTCTGTTCCTAAGATGTTTTTATGAAGTTGTTCAATCTAATGTTAGTGATATTCTTTTTTTCGCAAATTTTTTGAACGATTTTTTCATTCAAGGGCTACTTCCCAATCTTCTGTGTATAGTTGTCGTCGTAACTGGCAACGATTTGGGAGGGAAGAGGTGTTGAGGATTGATTCTCATGCATGTATTCGATATGGTGCCAGCCTTCAAATGCAATTAGTTGCGATTTCAGAAAAAGTCGTCGACATCGGGTGAATCCATCCAGAAAGGCGAGCGTTATGTCGAGCTGGAGTCCTTTAAACAGCTATTCAAAAGGTATTTTTCACAGTTTAGTTTTTATTTTTTTATTATTCCCTCTAAGGTTCCTTTTTGGGGCTTTCTGAAAATGCCACATAAATTACGAATTATTGAAAATTCATTTCAAGATATTGTAGCGCGTTGCAGTTTTGTTATCATTCACTGCACATGAGGTTAGGTTGCGTTCATGGTTTGCGTCAGCGTTTTGAACATCTAATAAAATATGGGTATCGGTCCAGCGTTTTGAAGCTGTATAGTTATCGATTCAGGGCACACCATTGGTTGGAGATTTTGGTCGAGGCCTCTTTTTTTGCTTGGTTGCTGGACCCCCCCCCACTTTCTCATCCTATCTACCCTTTCTTAGATTTCCCCAACTTTCACCAGTTTTTCCATGGTTTCCCAAGAATTTTCCTTACTGTTCCCAAAATTTTGCAGTCGAGCGAGGGGGGAAGGGTAAATAGTATACGTGAACTAGGAAAAAGCAAGATAAGTCAGCAACCTCCCACAGAAGGGAGATACGACCCTCCCCTCCCGGGGTTTACAAGGTTCTCAAAACAAGAAAAATCGACTATCAAAAAAATTTTCTCGGATCAAATACGAGCCCCCCCCCCCCTTCTGTTGGGAAATCCCCAACAACGATGCGCCTTGTATCGATTACCGCTGGTGGACGCGCTGGACCGATATCTATATTTTCTTAGTCGCTCAAAACTCTTTCGCAAAGTATAAACGCTTTCTGAAACTGTAGTTAGCTTATTGTTATTGTGAAATTCTGCCACATCTTTCCCGCAGAGTTTCGATGAATTTTTTCTTCTCGCCGTATATTATTTTAATGTTTATGGGATACTTGTGATAGATTTGAAGCTTTGTTTTACATTTATCTTTCATTTCTCTGGTATTTTCTGACGCCTGGCGTTGTTCCTCCCAATTCTCTTTTAAAAAATGAATCAATGCATGAATATCGTTAGGGCCGGATGTATGCACTGTATTTACATAATATTAGCCGTGATGACTTAGCGATGATTTTCATTTTCAAAACGTTTTTTATTATTTTCAAGTAAAATCTCGTTTAAGCAGCGCTTCAACAGATTATTTTGCTTTTTTCAGGCCGAAATTCCACCGCAAAGCGTTTGATAAAGCAATTCCTTGCTTATTGGCATATGCGAGTAAGGTAGAAAGCCGCAAAGATGATCTCCCAGCAGAGTTTCTCAATGTCAACAATGATCTGGAAACAGTTTGGCAGTTCATATCACACAGTGGAAAGCAAACGATCAAAGAGTTTCGGAAAAGAGAAGTGAGTATCCCATTTCAATAATTGTTTGTAATTTCTTGCTATTGGGCACACATGAGTTCGAGTGATTGCAAGCTATGTTGTCGCTTTAACTACAGTATGGAAGCTAAAACAACTGCTCAGTGCAGAAGCTTTCGCAATATCATTTCTGGAAGCAGTAGTATTCATGGTTAAGACCGTATTTATGCTTTGAAACTCGTGAGATTAAGCTAATCGGCCACTCGGCATTATGATAGAGGGGACATCAGTTGGAAATCTATGCGGTTCGCACTCTCCTGAACGTCGTATCACAGTTCTCTAAAAATGTCGAAAAGTCGAACCTCCTATTCTCCCAAGTGGCAAAGTTCAAACGCGGCCTCACCGCACGTCATGCGGTCTGTCATTCTCTCACCTAATTTTTTTAATCATGTGTGTAAAAAGTTCGCGGTTGTGACTTCCTGCTCGCGGTTGACTTATGTCATTGTTAGCGTCCCTTCGAGTAATATCTGACCATGTTGAATCACTAATGATTTTGCGGGTTCTCATGCATTTTTTCATATGCAATTCTTGTGAGTTCTTGTGTGTACTTTCCTGTGCGGGTTGAAGCATCGTGTTCCCGAGTTAAGTATCGTGTTTAACATATTTCCAGCAGATGCCCATTCAGTGTTCTTGTATGGCCAAGGTTTTTTGCTCTGAATTGACACTCATGCCCAGTTAAGCGCCCTCCTGGCGCCACGTTGTTTTAGTAATAAAACGAAGCTTTCGTCAATTATCAATTCTTTTTGGGATATAGCACGCATTCTACTTTAGCATCATAGCGGCTTATTAGATGCGATATGGCCTACACAACGACTTCCCCAGGGCCCAGCCGGTGCAAAGGTCATTGTTCTCATTCTCTCAGACGAAGCTGCTACCATTTTAGTGGCGGGCGAGACTTGGGATTTGACCCAAGTGCCGTGCGCGTCCAGTGGTAAGCCTGCCGCTTACCACTGGACCACCTCATACAATGTTTAGAAGCATTGTTTGTTAAATGTGCTGCTTGCTGAAAGGTTAACGTGGATTCCTCATTTTTATGGCCGATGGGTAGATTTTGTGATCGTGGGCGATCTAGGCGAAAGGTTGAGGAAAAACGGTGGCTTAACATATTGGTGAAGAGGACGGAAGTGGAATCATATGTCAGTTGTCGATACTGGAGCATCGAGGAACACGTTGATGATGAAGACGAGGACGAAGAAAAACGCTGCTCGCCTTGGAGGGGCATTATGACCTTCTATTAGTTCTTATGCTAGTTCTTGGTAACCATCAGGTCTCACTTAGGCGAAACCTACAAACACTTGAAAAGCAGCGAATTAGCTTGGATTATTCTGGTTACAAGAATTCACATCTTTACAATATGGCCTGCGCAAGCTTCGCTGGAAACCACTTGATGCCCTTACCAAGTCGAACTTGCCCGAGGAACGTGAAGATGTGAATGATAATGAGTGGTGCAGTGTGATCATCAACGGTTGTTGGATACCATTCCATTTTACGAGCTTTTCTCGACCAAGTCATATATGATGACGACGTAATATATAATAGTGAAGAAAACTCGGCTGAGAACCAAAATAATGGGGAAGTTCAGCTCACAGAAATGATAACACCCCCACCCCATTGGTGTTAATCGGTCACAAGGGTATAACAGCGCATGATGTTGCACGGTCGAATTGTGTTGAAATCTGAAAGCAGAACAATGGACGAGTTTTTATTCAATTAAATTGGATTCTCGGAAAAAATAGACGGTGTCGGAATTTGTCTTCCTTTCCGTGTGCGAATTGTCCTCTTCCGTTGAAGCTGTAGGTAGAGATTCTGTTAAGCATCTGCTGGTGGAGGACGTAGTGTCAGTTGATGAAGAGATGGACGATGACGAAGAGGACGTGAATGACGAGGAACAGGGTGATGAGGAGAATGAAGCCGATTTACTGAATTTGAAGTCAGTTTTTAAAGTTTCTCCTAAAATTAATAGTGAGCAAATTCCCGCTTTCATAAATGTTTATTTTTTTAATCGAATAACGTTCGTATATCTAGAAGCTTTTATTATTGTTCCCTTTACTTTGAAGCCGGACTCCACGCTGATTGTCGCGAAGCGGGGGAGGGGGGCGGGAAACTAGTGAGCTTATTTGGTGAGCCTTTTCGTCTATAGCAAAGGGGAATGGGTAACCCAGCGGCGAAAGAGCAGCAGCCCAAATGACTCTAATGAGTGATGAATTTTTACCCAGATGATTATTAGTATAATACTTGTTCAAGAATAATCCCGGCTTGTTACCTTTGTTCTTTATTTTTTGGTAAATTGTGATTGTAAAAAATATATATCGAACGTGGATATTAACGTTTTGTAGTGATGAAGATCTCAAAGATTTGGAACGTGAAATGGATGAGTTACGTCAGGAAGAAGATGAAGAGGAAGCAGAACAAAGTGATAAACCCCGTAAGAAGTATCCTAAATCGGCTGTTGACGATAAGTTCTTTAGGTATGTATCTGAATTTTTGCGATACGTAAATTATACGATTTTAATGGGTTTATGTTGCAGTCTTGCTGAAATGGCTGCTTTTCTTGACGAACAGGATCGTATGGAGGGAACTGGTCCAAGCGTATTGGACAGTGTTGACGTGAGCTTTTGCTACCATTTTTTCGAGGCGATATTTTCTTTTTTTCTAGTACATAATGAATATGACCTGTTCGTTTGACTTTATTCGAACTTCAGGTTGGCGTTGTTTTTCAGTTTTCTATTTTTTGATTGTTTCTTTTTAGGATTCTGAGACGGCACCAGCTGATTATCGTTATGAAGACTTTTTCGGTCGTGAAGACACAATCGAAGAGAGTGAGTCAGCGAATCAGAAAGAGCGAAAGAAGAAGCGCAATGTTGCTGAGAAGGAATCGTTAGTCCTTTGAGCTATTGGTTATTGTGAAGGCTTTGTATTCCTTCCGAGGCATAATATGCGTGATTTATCAATTCAGGCGTAAGAAGAAGTCCGTACGATTTGCAATGGATGAGGAACAGGCGGAGAAGGAAGTAGAAAACGATGAGTCAGTACATGAAGACGACAATGAAACCGAACAAGGACCGGTACTACTAGGTGAACAGGAGGAAGCGGAACAACCTCAAACTAGTCTCAAGAAAAGTCTGAAACGGGTATGTTTCTTGAAGTTCGTTCAAGTCCAGGTCTTCGTACATGAATGCAGGTCTGTCAGAGAAGGGAGAGCGGAGGGGTGTGGGAGGGCAGCTGCATGTTCAAAGTTGATGCCGGGTCTGCATGCTTTGTGAATGTTTAGAATCCGCAGTCTTGGAGAAGCCGAAATTCAGGAGAATGTGTGAGAAAGGAATGGATGAGAATTTATTGTCTCCGCCCACTTCCGAATTGCACATTCTGGCGATTCGTGCATTCTCCAAAACAGTGGATTCAAAAGACTCCTGCACATACTTTCCTTGTACGCGCATCCTTCCGTTCGCAGATCTGAACTCGTTGATTCTCCACATTCGCGAAATATGAACGCAAGCTGATTCTTTGTAGCGTCACCAATTCCAGGAAAGCTTTTTCATCCTCGAATTCAAAAAATTCATTCAAATTAAAATTAGGTGTGCTAGTGAAAAGGAAAAGAATGAGAAGCTCTGAAAGGTGCTCGAGCTCCTTGGTGGTGTGACTGGTCGAATGTAACAGCTCTGCAAAGTTCTTCTACTTTGTGCTTTTCATTATCAGATTTTTAGTTGAAACAAACGATAGCCAAATTGGAGCAAGAAAATCTCGCACCACGGTCATGGCAATTGAGCGGTGAAGTCACGGCTCAACAACGTGAAGAAAACGAATTGCTCGAAACGCACGTACAATTTGATCACGGCGCTAAGAAAGGTTGGTTATTTTAGTTCCCATAAAATTGTTTTTTTTTTGCTGAAAACGAGTCTATTGTTCATTAAACCTGAATTTTTAGCACCCGAGATAACAGAAGTGTTCACGGAAAAGTTGGAAGATTTAATCAAACAGCGCATCAAAGATAAGGTCAGTCAGAGTGAGCGGGCACCATTAAAGCAGAGCCAAGGAAGCATGGTTATTCTTGTTGACGGTGAATTTGTTCGTTGTTCCAGGCGTTTGATGATGTTGTTCGTAAGAAGCGAGTGGAAGAGCGCACTGAACCGTACAGGAATCAAGCGATAGAGGAACAGGAAATTGTTAAAACTTCACTAGCAGAGGTTTATGAGAAGGAGTACCAGAAAGCGGCTGGGGTTAGTTCCGTAGGTTTCTTTCTTTTGATTTTAATTGAAATTTCGTTCATTTCTGTTGTTACAGGAAGCTGCTGCGCCTAATACAGTGAACGAAGAGCATGTTGCTATAGAGAAACGAATGCGTGAACTCTTTCGACTTATTGATGCGTTGTCCAACTTTGACTACACTCCCCCTGAAGTATGGCCTATTTTCCAACTAATTTTTCAGCCTTTTTTCCAAATTTTTCTTCTAATTTCTCTTTGCTGTACCCACGAATTAGTGCTGGAAATCATTATAACTTATTATTGGCTTAACATCTTCACATCTTGAATAGTTCTTATTGACCATTTTGCTCCTTCGCGTCGGTATAGATGCGCTCCGTGATCGCGCTGATGGGCGTGGCAAGCGACGTCGCTGCCAGACGAGTTGTCCTGCGTGGCCGTTAGAATTTGTGTGTTAATGAGGAGGTGGGAAAGTTCGATATGGCCCAGCATGGACTCATATCTCCATTTGAACGCTTCTTATGACTTCCGGTTGACAAACAGACGCACATCCAGAATTTGCCGCATCATTAGTCGCGCACGGCGACGCGACAAGCTACGATTGTCTTGTCCGTATCCCTGCACTCCGAAATTGAACATATCCATGAAAATGAGCCGAAACTTGGTCAAAAATGAATATGTAAATACATTCTTGTACTTTCCAGACAATACCCCTTATCTAATTCGCATCAGATATCGCCAAGGTTTTCACACCTTAATTGCCAGATATTGAAAATTTGACGTGGACTGCCTATTGGCGAGTGTTGTGGGTTCCGTCCAGTTGAATCCGCGATAGCGAATTTCGTTATTTCCTAACGTTTCGAAGTAATCTTCTTCTTCTTCAGACATCAGCAAAGCACCTACTGCCGTTGGAGAATTTTTCGCAAATTATGACCCTCTCAAATTTTAGTATTCTTCTATGACCCCCCTCCCCTTCCCCATTCCCCATGCTAACATCTTCCTGAATTTCTTGAACTTCCAGCCGTATTTTTCCAGTTTGTTTATCAGAAATTCCTACAGCTCCCCA